ACTAAGAGTTTGCAAGTACATTATAGGAAAGAATTAGTTTGTTCTGATGATAAGTGATGGGAAGGCTGAAGTTAAATATCAGTTTCCATGGAAACTTTTTTCCTGGCTGAGCTTCACATCCTGCAGGCATGGTGGTGTAACCTTTATAAAGCTTACAAAAGACTGTACACTTTGGAGGTGAAGTGCCTGCATACAACATGTGCTTAATCAATGGCCTGTGCTACTCCCTTAGCCCAGACTGACTTGCTCAGCTTTATGCAGATGGCTCCATTTTAAAATTTTGGATACTTGTTATAGTAACTAACCATGGTGGCTGAACAATTTATCAAAATGTGGTGGTCTAAAACAACAGAAATTTATTCTTTCACCATTCTGGGAGCCAAAAATCTGAAACCAGAATGACTCGGCCAAAAGGAGATGTCAGCAGTAGTTCCTCGAGGTGGGAATCTGCTTCTCATTTCTTCCAGCTTTCAATGGCTGCTGCCACTCCATGGCCTCCTCACTCCATCTTCAAGGCCAGGATGTGCAAATGCCTTTCTGTTCAGGCTTCAGGTTGCTTCTCTCTGTGGGCAACATCTCCCTCTATCTTCCTATCATATGTGAACGTACTTAAGACTATTCCACTACGCAAAATCTTTAATTTTTCTTTAAGATTTATTCATTTATACATACAAGAGCTGGGGTACAGGCCAGAGGTGTGGGTGGTGAGAGGATTCACCAGACACAGAGTGGGGAACAGAACAGGCAGACTGACTGAAATACACTGCTGAGGGGAGCAGCAGGCAAGACAAGAGAGGTCTGCTGTGCCATGTGGGTCAGCTCCCTGGCATGCTGGGGATTAAACTTATGCCGGGCTGCAGTGGCTGCAGATAGCTTCATAGAGCTGAGACTTAACCTCTTGCACCACCAGGGAGGTTCCCTCAAAATCTTTAATTTAATCACAACCTGAGGACACTTTCTCCACATACATTTACAGCTCCCAGGGTCTAGGTCCTGCTTTCTTTGCAGGCCTTTCCTCAGCCTATGGCACTATGAAAAGTTAGTATTATTGAAAGAGAGGGAGGCACCTGTTACTGCAAGAAGCCAAACTGTCTTTCTGTGAGGACTCTTGCTACAGACACCTTGTTATATTGTCATGCCTGCTGTTATGCATGTGATATTATTGACAAAGTTCATGAATCTAAACCTTCTTATTCAAATTAAAACCTAACTTGGGGGCTGTCTGCATGACCCATGTCAAGTGGATTGAAGCCTACTTTTTCCTGCTTATCACCTGGCATTAGTGCTAGCTCCCTACTGAAATCCACGGAGTTGCCTATGTGGGCAAAGTGAGTCTGGGCAGATGGAATACACCCTGCAGACTTCTATTTAGGTTTGCTGATGGGTTAGTAGGGACTTTGATACAGACTTGGGATTGGACCCTAGGAATTACTACCCGTTTTGCCACTGCACTGTCACTCTGCCCCCTGTGGTTCTTGGATCCCTAGGTTAGAAGCACTGCAGAACTGTTGCACTGTTGGTGGGAGTGCAAACTGGTCCAACCACTGTGGAAAGCTGTGTGGAGATTTCTGGACCTACTAAACATAGAGCTTCCATATGATCCAGCAATTCCACTCCTAGGTATTTACCCAAAGGACACAGAAACATCAATTCCAAAGAACACCTGCACCCCTATGTTTATAGCAGCACTGTTTACAATAGCTAAGCTTTGGAAACAACCCAAATGCCCAAAAATAGATGACTGGATCAAGAAGATGTGGTACATACACACCATGGAATATTACTCAGCATTCAAAAAAGATAAACACATGCAATTTGCAGCAACATGGATGGCGCTGGAAGGGATCATGCTCAGCGAAATAAGCCAAAAAGAAAAAGAAAAATACCGGATGGTCTCACTCATAGCAGGAATCTAGAAAACTTAAATAAGGGACCAGGAAAATGAATAACTATAAGAAAGTGAAAATCAAAATCAACAAAAAACTATGAACCAGAGACACTTTTAGGGGGGCAGGGGCGGGAGGGGAGGGATTGGGGTCAGAATGGGGGGGCTGCAATTGTATGGGGAATATAACAATAAAATTTATAAAAAAATATATATATATATATATTTTAATGACATTAAAAAAAAGTTTTGTAATTAAATTAACTTATTTTCTTAAAAAAAAAATAAATAAATAAATAAAAGCAATTGACTGGAAAAAAAAAAAAAAAAAAAAAAAGCACTGCAGAACTGGGGCTGGCCCTACACATAGCTTATTCCTGCTTCTTGACTTTACCCCAGGCCTAGAGTCTGCTCAACTCCACAAGGTTAAATTTTCAGTCATGAAATCAGATGAAATCATTAGTATTTAAACAATTCTTGCATCAACATGATGCTTTCATGCATTTGAACGCTGTCATTTCTTGATTTGTTCTCTAGTAATATCAATAAATCCCCTATCTCTAGTATAACGAGGGTTAGGACTAGGGTGAGAAAAGTGAAGTACGCATCTCGGGTAAACAGTTGAAGAAAGCACCAAAAAGTTCAGTAATCAAATAACATTTAAAATGCAATACTGGGGCCTCCCCGGTGGCGCAGCGGTTGAGCGCTGGGTTGTGAAGCTGCCCGCGGCCTCGGAGGCGCCGGTTCGATCCCCAGCTGCTCCCCGGCCACCGGAGGAGGGTCCCACATGGCGCGCAGACCTCTCCTGCCGCCCGCTGCTCCCCTCAGCAGTGTACTTCGGTCCTTCTGCCTGCTCTGCTCCCCGCTCTGGCTCTGGTGAATTCTCTCACCCTCCAGCACTTCTGACTGTACCCAGTGCATGTATAAACAAAAACAAACAAACAAATAAATAAATAAATAAAAAACATGCCTCTATAAAAAAAAAAAAATAAAATAAAATGCAATACTGAAAATTATCCATAAATAAAATTTTATCAATAAATAAAATTATTGGAAACTGGGCCTGGATTAGGGTAAGGCAGATGTGGCATTTCGCAGTCACACAACTGTCAGTTGGATCTTTCATTTTTAATACTGTTATTTTGTTCATCAAGGATTTTTTTAGTATTATTTTGATTTTTAAAAAATCATCTTAAAATGATTTTTAATCAGGGTCTCCCTGGTGGTGCAAAGGATTAAGATGCAGCATGTGAAGCTGTCCGCAGACTCTGCAGTGCAAGTTCGATCCCTGGCCAGCCAGGAGCAACCCACACAGTGCAGCAGACCTCTCCTGTCTCGCCAGCTGCTCTCCTCAGCTGTACTTTGGTCAATCTGCCTGTTGTGATCCCTGTTCTATCTCTGGTGAATCCTCTCACCCCCCACACCACTGGCCTGTATCCCAGCTCTTATATGTATAAATAAAAAATGAATCATTTAAAAAAATGATTTTTAATAAAAAAATTTAAATTCAATTTTTTAAAAAAAATTTATTCATATCGCCAGTTAGTCACAGAGAATATTAAAAGTTGTACGTGAGAATCAAGATTTAATAAAATTTATCATCTTTCTTACTTCACTGAAAGTAGTAAGTGAAGTTGACCTTTTGAGTATGAATACGTAGTGGCCAGAAGTTCTACTCACCATTACTTTTGTACCATCAATGTCAATGCCAATGTAAAGAAAAAGGAAAATACCATTCTAGGATTAGGAAAATAATTTTGACCCCAAAGACCCCTTGAGAGGGTTTTGGAAAAACCTAGAATCCACAGTCCACATTTGTTGAACTGCTGTCTTATGTAATATGTTGTTGTTTTTTTTAAAGCTTTATTCATTTATGCATACAAGAACTGGGGTACAGGCCAGAGGTGGGAGCAGGGGTGAGAGGATTCACCAGAGACAGAGTGGGGTGCAAAAGAGGCAGATGTACTGAAATACACTGCTGAAGGAAGCAGAGGGTAAGACAGGAATAGTCTGCTGCGCCATGTGGGTTAGGAATCGAACTCGTGCTGCAGAGGCTGCAGATAGCTTTATAGTGCTGTGCTTGACCCCTTGCGCCACCAGGGAGGCCCAACATGTTTCAATAATATGTCAGAACCATAATCAGTAACAATCCGAGATCCCCAGTCAGATGGGAGAAACATGATTATGAATAATCCCACAGTTAGCTTTGCAAAAAAGTAGTGGTGAAGCACTGGAGCAAACTGGCCCATCTATCAACAATTCTGTTTACCAGAGAGAAGGAGGAAGGAGCTGGGGCTAAATCTGGTGAGGGGATCAACTGGATGTTGAAGGATGGAAACTAGACTTCTGCTGGGGAACATCATGCAGCATGTACAGATGTTGATGCATAAGTCTGTACACCTGAAATCTACCCAATGTTATAAGCCACTGTTACTTCAATATAAAATATTTTAAAAAGCACTGAACACCAGACCCAAAGAGTATTCAGTAAATACAGCTTATTAAATTATTATTCTGTGCTGATCCCCTGCCCACATGTATGAATGCTTCATCAGTCTGCTCTCTTGCCAGTGTTAGATGTTCAATAAAGGTCCTCACTCCTCTGGCTTCACCAAACATCCCAGAGCAGCTTCTGGCCATTTAAATGCCATGGAATAAGAGAATGGTCATTAACAACAGCCCCCACTTCTGAAGATTTAAATTCAAGAGGTCTAGAATGCAAGAATGTCCACTTAACTTGTGACCCTGTTAGAGAAGGTGGGTGGTCCACACTTTGAGAGACATTCATTTCTACCTGTAAAGAGCTTACAGCGTAGGTACTGAGTAAATACAATTCCAATCCCTGAAACATAAATAAATATGCATACTTCCAACAGCCAGGGTACATAGGTAAAAGGCTGGATATAGCATAGAACTCATAAATCCTTTCATTTCTTTACATTCACAAAAACTAGTTACTGAATTATGCCACGAGATCTTTGCCTGCTTGCGCTCTCTCTCTCTCTCTCTCTCTCTCTCTCTCTGTTCTTCTGGAGCAGGTAAAGCAGACCTGTAGTGAACAAGCATCCTTGCTGAGCACAGACCCAGAACCCTTCTAGCCTCCCACCTGTCCTACCTGTTTCTTTAGGAGGTGGTGATGTGCTGCTCCAGGGCGTGTCATCTTCAAACTGAACCCAGTTGCTGATGGCCGAGGCCAGATCAGGTGCGGACTGCTCAGGGCTCCCAGGAGGGGAGGCTGCTTCAGAGATGAGGCCCATCTTTTCAGAGGCATCATCCTGTTCCGAGGGGGAGCGGTCCTGAGCACCTCCATCTGCCAGGTGGCTGTCCCCGCAGGAGCTCTCAGACTGGTCTGAGGAAGACGACAGTCCTGGAAGATGCTCTTCAGTGCCCCCTGAAACAGACACCAGACACCATCATCACATCATGTGAGAAAAGCCATTCTTCATAATTGTCTCATGGAGGCAAAAAGCCAAGCTGGACTAGGACTGACCACAGGAATCATTATTACTACGGTGAGGGTGAAGAAAGAGCATGCCCACATGTGCGCTATGCTAAATAATATATACAAACCTTAACCCATAATATATACAAACCAAACCTTAATATATACAAACCTCAGTGTGTCCATCAATAGTATCCAGACAAGGTGTTGTGTTCACTAATTCTGAGTGTGTGTGTGTGTGTGTGTGTGTGTGTTCATTATTCTTACCTCAGCATCTACTCCAGCTGTTCGAGGTCACAAACAAAAATGCTTGGAGGCCAAGCAAGAACTATAACTAAGTTGACTAGCACAGACAAAAGGCAATAAGGACTGTTGGGGACTATAGCTAAACAAGAGAACTTCTGTCTGAACTGAAGGCATTCAAATTCAAACATTTAACTGTGCAGTCCAAACGACACACATCTGCAGACCACACTTGCAAACGCTGCATTAATGTGGCATAGGGGCTCCTCTCTAACTCTGGGTAACACTATTTGTCCTTGGATATTTAACAGCCTTCAAAATTCTTCTTTACAATGAATTATATTCAATTGGGATGGAGGCTACACATTCCATTTAAATGCCCTGGAATAAGAGAATGAGCATTAACAACAGCCCCCACTTCTAGACCTGTGCGAAAATTCTAGACCTGTGTGAAAATTCATCAACGGCACATCATAAATGGCCAAATTCACTGTATGAAAACTTAAAAAATAATTTGAGGCACTAATACAAAACTCCTTTCTCTCACCAGAATTCAAATAAACTGATCCATCTACATGTAATCAAAGCTTTTAGACAAGCACTATCTGAAAGAATCAAAGGTGAGCCACCTATGTAATTTAAAGTTTTCTAGTAGCCACATTAAAAATGTAAAAGTTGAAACTGTGTTCAATAATAGCTATTTCAACCTAGTTTAGTTGACAATTTATAATTCCAACAGGTGATTAACATAAAAATTGTTCATGGAATATTTAACTCTTAGTAGGTTGAAATTCAGGGGTGGGTATTTTGCTCTCACAGCACATCTCAACCAGACTCGCCACATTTCAAGGCCTCTCGGCCACATGGCCGGCATAATGGACAGCACACCAGTGAACTCATACTTCCCAGGTGTTGATATGAAGTAGGTTGATTTTGGTTGGCAGTGGCAGCTGCAGCTGAACAGAACCCACTGACAAGGCTCTGTAATTAACTCCTATTTTCCCTTGACCGATGTCCTGCCCACTAGTTCCCTGGAAGTCAGTTTGGCCATCTTCACTGTGCCAGACACTGTCCTAGGCACTTGACATATTCGTTCATTATATCCTCACAACTACGGTGAGGTAGGTACTGTGATTGTCCCTATTGCACATGTGAAGCCCAAGCAACCTGGCTATGACATCTGCAATTCTTAACAATCAGGCTTTAAAATCTAAGAAAATCCTGGGCCTCCCCGGTGGCGCAGAGGTTGAGCGCTGGGTTGCGAAGCTGCCCGCGGCCTCTGTGGTGCCAGTTCGATCCCCGGCTGCTTCCCGGCCACCGGAGGAGGGTCCCACATGGCGCGCAGACCTCTCCTGCCGCCCGCTGCTCCCCTCAGCAGTGTACTTCAGTCCTTCTGCCTGCTCTGCTCCCCACTCTGGCTCTGGTGAATTCTCTCACCCTCCCGTGCTTCTGACTGTACCCAGTGCATGTATAAACAAAACAAAGAAAGAAAGAAAGAAAGAAAAACATGCCTCTATTAAAAAAATAATAATAATAAAATAAAATCTAAGAAAATCCAAATTTCTGTGGGAGTAACAATCAAAGGTTGGAGTATATAGTATTGCGTAAATATGGAGTTTACCTGTCTTGGAAGAAACTTGGTGTTCCCAGGCTCTTGCTTGGGGGCCTAAGGCATCTAAGATGCTTCCTCCAGGTTTCTGTGTCAAAGAATCTGCACCTCAGGAAAGTGATACACTGTCTCTTTTTTTTTTTTTTTTTTTTTTTCATACTAAGATCCCACCCAATGAATGATGAGGTAGAGGCAGGCAAGGTTCTTTGCCAATCTTTTCACTAAGGAAAGGAAAACACATCTTACCCTCAGAAGGGCCAGAAAAAAGTGGCTCTTCATTGAAAGAGACCCACTCTGACTGGTGGGTGGCAATCACACGGTCCACAGTCGTCATGCTAGGAAGGTGCTGGTCATCTTCACACTGCTAACCTCAGGAAGACCCCAGAGTAGTGTCTGGAGTGGTGGGGTATGGTAGCACGGTGAACTTGGGCCTGGTTCTGTTAGGGGGTCTTGCAGAGGGCTAACAAGAAGATTAGCTTTTCTTGCCTTCAGTTAGTTTGCCAAGAAGAAATCTGTTTAAAAAAAATAATTAAAATTAAAAAAGATAATCATCACATTATACTCAATATACACAGACTTTCTCCACAGCCCACAAGGAGGTCTGGATGGTTTCCAAATTGCCTTACTTCTTTCGTCCTGTCTTAGCTCCCCATTCCTAATATAGAACTATCTGCCTTCAGCATTAAGATCTTAGTGCAGGTTTTCCCCACTATCTGAACGTAGAGCATGCCTGTTAATTCGGTATGGCTTCACATGGCAGGAGGGGTTGCTGAGAATGCTATTACCGTTGATATGTATGGGGAAAATTTTTAGCATTTCTAGACACAAAAAATAACATATCAAATCATATCAAATAGGAACATTCTACTTTCATGGCCAGGGGAATATCTGTATAAGCGTGTCTTTATATTAGACCTGCATATAATCACACAAATTTCAGCAATTGGATTCCCAAATTTTCCCAGTAAAACAAATACTAAAACTTTCAGGGGCCTCCCTGGTGGTGCCAGGGGTTAAGACGCAGCACTATGAAGCTATCCACAGCCACTGTAGCACAAGTTCAATCCCCGGCCAGGGAGGTGACTCATGTGGCGCAGCAGACCTCTCCTGACTCTCCCGCTGCTCAGTGAATATTTCATCAGTGTATGTCAGTCAATCCGCCTGTTCTGTTCCCCACTCTGTCTCTGGTGAATTCTCTCACTCCCACACACACCTCTGGCCTGTACCCCAGTTCTTGTAGGCATAAATAAATAAACCTTAAAAAAAAAACTTTTCAAAGGGTTTTCACTCTTTTACCAGATGGCAAAACACAAGCATGTTCTTTCCTATTCAATTGGTGCAGTTTCTTGCCGCAGGCAGGTAGCTTTCTGCAAGCCTGATTTAAATCTTTGGCAGAAACCCAACAATCTCCAGATGGTATCTCCAAGCACGGTTTACCAATCAAGAATAGAAATGGAATCACTTTGTTCATTTGGAGCAAGAGTGGGGACTATTTGATTTAGAGAAAAATGTGAGTTAAAGAAACATTTTCAATCTAGGTGAACTTGACTATGTGAAAGTCTAGCCTTGACTCACACTACAACTATGGTTATGTATGTAGTACTCGGTAGACTCATTACTTTGTACTATTAATGTCCTTCTACAACTTGAACCTGACTGTTGATCTTATAATGAATTCATAAAATCTGAATTAATGCAAAATTAATGTGTTTCCAAAAAAGAACTACTATTTGTATTGAACAATATAAGTTCTTTTTAACAGAATACTTACAATATTCATTTTAGTGAACAATTTCACTCATAGCCTTCTAATTGGCACACAATAAAAAATGTTGAGGAAGTTTCACTACAGGGGATTGCAGAAAGGAAGAATACTTACTGGGGGAAGCTAGTAATATTTAATAAGTTTTGCTTTGGGGGTAATTAAAAAAATAATTTTGTAATATGATACTAGAAATAATGTTTGCAAGGAATTTATAATTTTCAGAAATATTTTCATACCATATTTCATTTGACTCAACAGTCATTTTAGTTGCACAAGACACATAATATAATTTCAGATGAAGAAATCTTGCCTGAGGGAAGTTAAGTGACTTATTCAACACTCTTGCTGTTACCAGGGTCTTGTCTGGTCTAATAAGTTTCCTTTACAGGGCCTCCCTGGTGGCCTAGGGGTTAAGTCTCAGCACTATCACACTATCACCAGCCACCGTTGCAAGAGTTCCATCCCCAGGCAGGGAGCTACCCACACGGCACAGCAGACCTCTCCTATCTCGCCTGCTGCTCCCCTCAGCAGTGTATATCAGTAGATCCGCCTGTTCTTCTCCCCGCTCTGTCTCTGGTGAACCCTCTCACCCCACACTTCTGGCCTGCACCCCAGTTCTTCTACACATAAATAAATAAATCTTTAGAAAAATAAGTAAGATTCCTTTACAGATATAGGTGCATTCTGGCTGAGAAACCAAGAGCACTACTCAAACTACACTCGAAAGAAAAGCCCCCAAAACTTATCTCCCTTTCCTTAGCTTATCCAGCCTCAGTCCAGACATGGCTGGTGGCTGATGGGTGAGTAGTTCCAAAAAGTCTTGCGGAACAAATTCATTACAGGGACGCCCCCACGGTGACCCTGTGAAGTGGATTCTAGGTACTTGCCATTAAACAGACGTATGCAGCAAGCCATGAGACACCAGGGCTTGAGGAGGGCTGTGTTGACAGCCAAAACCCACAGAGGAGCCCAATCATTTGGAGGCTAAGTTCGTATAGGAATGCATGACTCCATAAAAACCTCACCCATTTTTAGAATGTGAATCATAAAGTGAGGTTTAGAATCCTCACAATGAGAATTTCAACAGAGGGTTGACCAAGTGACACTTGAAAATTCATTAACCTCTGGGTTGCCATTTCAGAAAAAATCTTCCTCAGCATCCCTTACACACATAAATTGGAGAGGACTTTTGGCAGATAGGATAGGAGTCATATAAAAATTTGTTTGGGGTCAATCCTCTAATCCACATTCATGAGCCCAAGGCATCTAGAGAGATATCAGACACCCTTTGAGATGGCAACTCTCAAGCAGTTTGCAACCTAGCTGGGGAGTTAAAGAAACAGTAGAACACACAGAAAAATTGGGAATAACTGCCTGCTGCAGAACACAGCAAAAATGCTGTGCCAGTTTAGCATCAGAGAGCCCTTCAAGGGGGGCAATCATCAGGCATCAGGCAGGTTTCTTGGACTGAAGGACATCCTTGTTCTGGACCACTCGCGAGGAGGGTAAAGACAGCCGTGGGACAGAGCATCATCAGCTTCAGTGAAGATTAAGAATCACTGTTTTTGATTAAGAACTTGCTTCTAGGTAAGTTTGGGCCAGAGGAGTAGTTCTCCTATCTGAGGCCCACAGAGCTGACCAGCTACACTCACTAACAGGCTCCACTCTTGATGACCGAGCTCCAGGCCACACTCGCGGTCACCCTGAGATTGTGAGTTCTGCAACCAAGGTTAGTCACATTTATGCAAACCTGTCGTGCTTGCTGTTATAACAATGATTTTTTATTTAACTTCATATAAATATTCAAATATAAGGATGAAAAGAAAGAAAATTATTGTTTCTATGAGAACAAGGAGGAATTGAATGTTTTATAAAGATGATTTCACAAAGGAGAGCCACTTTAAAAATTAGATGTTGATGACTATAAAACATTGAGAGGGAAATATAAAATTCTAAACAGATTCTGTTCTCAGATTGTGTCAGAGACATCTTTAAATTTGCACCTCTTTAAATAAACTAAAATTTGGATAATGAAAAAGGAAAGAACTTGCTTTTAAGGTAGTGGAAAGGTCGATCTGATGAAAACTGAGGTGTCCACAGAGAGTTGATGAACCAATGAGAAGAGTTAGGTGGTAAATGGGAAGGTGCTGGAAGTTGATGAGCAGCCAATGACTGAAGAAATATACATCAGGAAGATTAACTTTCCTGTACTGAGCAGGAACTGGTGATGGAAGCTATCGGTCAGAATAGGACCTCAGTGTGTCCCACCGTCAGAGGCCAGCATCATCAGGAACTAGTGCTGGGTTCTCTATACTGGGCTACCTAGGGTGTGAGTGTACAGGTAGGAGAAGATAGTATCAGTGGTGTCTGGCAACGTACAGTTGGTGCAGGGGTGACAGGGACATCAACTGTTACTTCAATGGCAGTAGATAGTAAGGGCATTAAGAGACCACTGAGGACTTGAGCAGTAAGTGATCAGGATCTGTGCCTTAAATTGGGAGGGAGGACTCTGAGCAAAAGGGCAGAGGAGCAAAGGTTTTCTAGGAAGGGGAAGCAGGAATGGCATGTCTAGTTGACAGTGAGTTATGGTCTGTTTGTTGTAGAGCAACCCCGATACAAAACGGGGTGCCTGACTGTGGGCCCTCATCCACGCGCTTAAAAGGACTTATCAATGCTCTACTGCAGGCACACGTGAAAGGTTAATAAAGGTTTATTTACAAGGGAAGGGGAAATGAGGAAATGTACAGCTCAGGGAGAAAAGTGGGAGACAAAGTTTTAAATGAGTCCTACCCGATTCGCCAATCAGGAATCCCAAATGGCACTCTGAGAGCTGGCTGCAAGCCAGGAGCCGTGAAGCCAGGAGGCGAGCGACAGTGAGCCCCCTCAAGGCCCACGTGTTTGGTTTTTATATCCAACCTGGCTGCCCAACTCCATCCTCAGGTCCCAGCCACCCTCCCTTTGGTGGTGATGGGATTTGTCTTTCCCAATGTCTTGATGGCTTTAGTCTGGAGTGGGGGTGGGGTCCATAAAGCCTGTATGGGATTAGGTCAGAACATCATTTCTCCCTAACATGTTTATCTGAGGAGGATGGGAGTGGAGTTGAGTGCACTGGGAAAGGAGGGGCTGGGAAAGACAGCTATGTAGTACCTACAAAGTAGATAGCCTCATAGGTCTTTTGAGCAGATAAATGATTTTAGGAAAGTTAATTTAAATATTATGTATAAGATGGTTTAAGAGACAATCTAGAAATAAGACAACGTGTTCAATCTCCTTTCTTCTTAATCTAAAACTCCGCTATTCAATTCCAAAAAGGACTCATTAGACATAATATAACTACTGAAATTTGGCTTATCCAAATTGAGTTGTTATTTAAATATAAATAACAATTTCAAGTACAAAATGTGTAAAACATCAATTTAACAATTTTATATTGATTACATCTTAAATAATATTTTGGGTATACTGAGTTAAATAAATATATTGTTAAAATTAATTTCACCCATATCTTTTTTCTAATGAAGCAACTAGAAAATTTACAATAACACATATGTGGCTAGCACTATATTTCTGTTGGATAGCACTGCTCAAAATAGCCATTTTTAAAATCAAATTCTTATTTTGTAGGGTAATTTTCACCCAATACAGAATTTGAGGTTAACTTCTTTTTTCCTTCAGTATTTTGTCTTTCAGTCTCTATTGTCTATGATGAGGAACTGGTTGTAATCTTATATCCCTATTATAGCCTATCATTTTCCCTCTAACTGCTTTCAAGATTTTCTGTTAGCTTTGGTTTTCATAATTGACTATGGCAAATCTAGATGTGTTTCCTTAGAACTTATCTGACTTGAAATTCAGGTAATATCTTGAATCTGTCCTTTTCCACTAAATTTGGAAAATTCAGGAGCTATTTCTTCAAATATGTTTCTCTGTCTCTTTATCTCTTATTGGTATATCTTCAGATTCAGCAGTTCATTCTTCTGTCATCCTCATTTTCCTATTAACTCAGTTATTCAATTTTTCCATTCTATAATTTTCTTTTTCTTTTTTAATAGTTTGTATTTCTTGGCAGCGAGACCCTGTATATTCATTCATTACAACAATATTTTCCTTTAATTCTTTTAACAGTTTTATAATAGCTGCTTTATTTGCCAAATCCAACATCTGAAACATTTTCTTATCCATTTCTATTGACTTGTTTTTTGTTTTTTTGTTTGTTTGCTTGCTTTGCTTATGTGCAACATTTTTCTATTTGCATACCTCATGATTCATTGAAGGTGGACTAGATTTGGTCTTCCTCTGATGAGAGGTGACTTTTGCCATAAGTCAGAATGCCTGTTAGCCTTGATTGCGTGGAGGTATAGCCTTCCACTTTGCTGGATGGATTTATGAAAAGTCATGAATATTCCTACGTCCCTTTAACTCGTGCTGGGGTCAACTTCCAAACTCAATCTCAGTACTGGCACTAGCACTGGGCCCTAGGTTTTGTTTGAGTGAGTTTAAATAAAATAGGCCTCACTCTAGCACCGGGTTGGAAAACTTCAGTCATAACCCAAGCCTGGCCCACTACCCTCCTTTTTGGAAATAAAGTTACATTATAACAAAACCACAGCTGTTCATTTATATATAATCTATGGTTGGTTTTGCTCTACAATAGCAGAGTTGAGTAGTTGCCACAGAAATTGTATGGCTCAAGGGGCCTGAAATAATTACTATATAACTCTTCATTACAAAATGCATTAGCAACATGATCCTTAGCACTTAGACAGATTTGTTGTATCTTTTCTGGATGCTTGGGAAGTTAATAGGGTGCTAAGGAGGTCTTTCCAGTGTGGCTGGTATCTCTGTCCCATTCTCAACCCTAGAGCTGCCACTTTTGGTAAATTTCTTCTGGTTTCAGTCTGTAAATGTACACTCTACTCCAGTCAAGGATTCCCTGGATACACGCAGTCACTTCTACTTCCCCCTTTACCAAACAACTCTCTCCTCTCAAGTGCTCTGCAGGTTCTAGCTGCTTCAATTGCCCTGAACTCTGATCTCTGTTTCCTCAGCTCAGCAGGACTGCTGTGCTTGGCTTAGATTCCAAGCTAACCCTCTTGGAGTTGGGAGACTCTCCCTTGGAGCAAAGCCATCACAATCGCTGGGCTCACCTCATGAGATTTCCTTCTCTCAGAATCAGAATATTGTGCTTTCTGTTGAACAATAACTGAAAATTATTTCTAGCTTACTGTTTACAGTAACTATTTCTGTTTACTGTAGAAGGACTAGTTTGTTGCCAATTTTAGACAGAATTAAATGTCCTCCCCTCAAATATTTCTTTAAATATTTAAAAATGAGCTTTTGTAGACCTAGATAGACACCTACTTTGGAAATTTCTGCATCTACTTTTTGGCTTTAAGTCTACTAACAGATGCTATCCAGTCATCAAGGGTCTATGAAGAAATATCTTAAGTGAGATCCCAGTACTCATTCCAAACCCCAAAGTGAAACCTCAGCTTTTTTCTGATCAAGGACAATCATCTGAAGGTGGAAAGGAAAAATGGGAAATGCTCAAAGTTTACGCATTTTTTTGGAACTATTTTCCAAAGCAAGACATTCAACCAACTTACTGAGCCTTCAAGTATGTGCTCAGAATTGTGCGTAATAGCCAAGCCTGGTTTCATACTCCAAGACTCTGTGTCAGAGGGATATAGAAATCACAAAAAGTATAATTGAAAGTTAGAGTAACTGTGCTACTTGCTTCCTAAGTTCTCAGAATAAACAGAAGCCTGGAAGGCTTGGCTACCCTATAAAAAAGACTTAAAATCAGATTAAGGACTTGGAACACTGCTTCTTTTCCTTCTTCTCTCAAATGCTTTCCTTTATGAGGAAATAAAATGCTAGTTAACAAACACATATAGAGTTCACAGGAGAAAATACACACACATTTTAATTAACAAGTGCCTTGATGCTTTAAAAGAGAAAAGGTGAGTGGTCCTGATTGTTTGCTCTTCCTATCTTTTTACCATTTTTTTCCTTCTTTCATTTAAATATTTCATTCTTTAAAAATAAAAAGAGATCAATCAGGATTCTTCCATTAGGAACTGCTGAATAGAATAACACCTGAGCCTCAAGTCAAATATATGTAAGAAAGTACTATGAGGGCCTCCCTGGTGGCGCAGGGGTTAAAGACAGTGCTATCAAGCTATTGCCAGCCACTGCAGCATGAGTTCGATCCCTGGCTGGCCAGGGAGCAACCCTCATGGCACAGCAGACCTCTCCTGCCTTGCCCGCTGCTCCCCTCAGCAGTATATTTCAGCAGATCTGCCTGTTCTGCTTCCCACTCTGTCTCTGGTAAATTCTCTCGCCCCCTGCATCTCTGGCTTACTCCCCAGTTCTTGTATGCATAGATAAATAAATCTTTAAAAAAAAAAGAAAGTACTCTGAAAGGAACATGTGTCAGCACAAGGGGCTATGGTGATGGTTCAAGGGTGAGCTGGTGGTGAGAATGTTATGGGGAATACACAATGATGTAAAAGATATAAATTATAAAATATATAAAAACTATAAATATATTAAATACATAAAAAATAAAAGGAACATGTGTCATA